GTAGAAACTGATCGTCAACAATTGATTTTTGCATACTGATCCTGTATTCTACAACCTTGCTAAACTCAGTTGCTAAACTTGTCAGCTCTATTGCTCTTTTGTAGAGTCCATCATATTTCTACATAGACGATCATATCATCTATGAATAAAGACAGTTTTACTTCTTCCGTTCCAAGGAGGATACCTTTTATTTATTTATTTTCCTTGCCTAATTGCACTGGATAGGACCTTTAGCATAAATAACAGTATGCACTGCAATAATGACCACAAGTATGACCAAAAAGATCTCCTGAATATATTAATTTAAATGGTTAGAATAGTATAATGGCCTACTAAGAGTGGTGTGACATGTTTAGGTATGATCAAATATGCCATAACTGAAAGAAGAACAGCAAAGTTAGTACTAATTTCCTACTCTCAATACTTTCCCAATGACAAAAATATATTTGGAAAGTTGAGAGAGTCACTACAGAGAGAAGGTGCCATATAAATTCAGAACACACAGGGCCCTGTTTACTCTGTCAACCTTAACAGCTTTTCTTACGTCAGACACCTGATTGTTAGCTACCTAACAACTTAGACACATAATAGTGTGTGGTGCCAACATTTCCTTCCATGCGTACTAATGAGAATGATTCTCTGAAAGTGTATTTATTCAATTTACTGGACTACTGTGCAGCTATCACATAGACTTTTATAACCTTGCTTGTCAAAGAGATAAACTAAAAAAAGTTTTATTTTAAACAGGTTTCTAAAGACAGTATTGCCATTAAGTGTTGTATTTGGTATATTTTCAGTAAGTGTTTTAATATTTGCAAATGTATCTGTGTGCTTTTGTAGAAAGCATTATTTTCTCCAGAGCTCTTATAAGGATTGGAGATAGAATAAGAAACAAGACAGTGGAATAACATCTTTTTACTTTTTTTTTTTTTTTTTTGGCCGCTGGCTGGTGCAGGGATCTGAACACTTGACTCTGATGTTACAACACTGCACTCCAACCACTGAGTAACCAGCCAGCCACCCTTTATTTACTTTTAAGTGACAAAAATCTGTATGTTATCAGGTTAATGCCAGTTTTAACACCATTACTCACTTCACCAAATTATTAGAAAAGGAATTCAAAACATAAACTGGACTTTTGTTAATGACTGAGACATTTTCAGTTAATTTGCTGATATCTTCAAGGGTTTTAAAGAGCAGCTTACTCCAAACAGACCCAAAATACTAGTAATAATGCAAAGTTTATAAGCAATCATAAAGAACAAATAAGATGTGAATTACATGTCATACAGAACGAGGAAATCAAAGATGCTATGTAATTCATAAATTCAGCAAACATTTACTGAGTAGCTACTAGGTGTTGGGCACTATAGAGTCATGGGAAAAAGTAACAATCCCTAAGTTCAATTTTTGAGGAAGTTACATGGGGACAGGAGAGGTTATGAGAGAG